ATTGCCTGGCACTGTGTGGAGACAGTCTTTGTTGAGTTGGGATATTGGGCCGTTTTCAGTAGAAATCAGTAACTCTGAATTTAAGACACTAATTGCTTTCTTTGCAATTGTTTTGGTAAGTCTCTTTTATTCCATGAGAGAGACGGGGGAGACACAGAGACAGGCACCCCGACAGGGTCGTCATGCCATGATCCGCCTCCAGACTTAGCTAGCCTGGGTCATAGACGCGTGCGTGCGTGCCTGGTGCCCAGGGAGACATCGGACTCTTCTCAGAGTCCAGCCCCCAGAGCTCTGTTGCTCCTGGGCTGCCACTGCTGGCCTGCCCTGTTCTGTGCCTGCCTGTTGAGGTCTGTTAGTTACTGCACATTCGTGCTTGTTTGGGGAGTGCTGAGAATAGCCCTGTGTGGGCTCAGATTCGCACACTTTCAGTGCATCTCACTGTCACCTGAGGAACTTGGTACCGCCTTTTTTGGGGGCGGGGGGAGGGCTATAGGGCATGTGCACACACCAGAGAGAGACAGAGATAGGGAAAGTGAGAAATCACCCCCAGGGCAATAGCCAATGCTGCAATCCTTTCTCCTCCCATCTTGGGATTTGCGGCATAGACATACGGGCGCCTGATTTTCAAGCCACTGTGTCTGGGACTCAAACCGCACAGTTGGCATAGTGGGATCCAGCGCCGTAGCCTCCACGCCACCTGCTGGCCCTGGTGGGTACTGCTTGATACCTGCTTCACATACACAGAGACCGGTGTGCACAGAAGCTGAGCCACTTGCCTTCGAGTCACGCCGTGAGCGTTGGGAGCGAGGTGGGGCCCAGCCTGTCCGCTGCAGACCCAGTCTTAACCAGTTTGTGACGTCGCCTCTTTCCATATTCAAGTTCGAGTGACACAGGCCTCTCATTTTAAGAAGCGGAGTCTGGTGATTCTTAATCCTTAAGAATGGATTTGTACAGCCCTTGTGACCGTCGCGTATAGTCGAGTTTATAAAATTGTGAATTTTAGAGACAGGTGGGAATTAGCAGATGGCACTGACTCATTCACTCAATCAACCGAGCCCCTGTGCGTGCTGGTACGTTATCAGGTGCTGGGTAGCAGGTTTCATGAAGCCCGTCCCTGCTGCCGCCAGCGGGCTCCACAGTGGGGAGGTGGGCTCTGGTCACGCAGTCCATGTGAGGAGCGTGGCTCGATGCGGGGAGCCCGGGGGAGATGGTGGGGCCGGGGCGTGATGCTTGCATGGAGAGCTGAAGGAGGCCACGAGTAAGGCCCCGGAGGAGGGAACGGTGTGGTGGGTTTGAGAAGCCGAGCTGTCATGTGGCTGGGGGGGAAAGCTGAGGGGAGAGCCACACCCCGACAGGCTGGGGACAACAGATGGGGCTGCACCCGGCCGGAAGGAGGTTGTCCCTTCTACACAATAAAAAGCTGTAGGGTGGTTTGTGTGTTTTCTGCTATAGGACCTGTGTGCTCGTCAGAGACAGGGATGCAGTAAGAAAGCACAGGGTGGGGGCGTGCTGCAATGCTGCAATCCCCTCTCCATTTATTCTGGATTTGGGATCAGTGCACATCTGCCGGGGGTGTTTTTTTTTTTTTTTGGAGAGATTTTCACTATAGGGCGCGTGCGCTCGCCAGACAGACAGAGAGAGACATTAGAGACAGAAAGCGAGAAATCACCCCCCAGGGGGGATGGTCACGCCGCAATCCCTTCTCCTCCATTCTCCTCTCGGGATCTTGGGCACGCACGCACACGCGCCCGGCATGAGTTTTAAGCCACCGGATCCGGGACGCGAACCACGGTTGACTACGTGGGAGTCCAGCGACATAGCCATTACGCTAACTGCTGGTTCCCTGCCGGGGGTGTTTTTCAAGACACCTGGTCTGAGACTCCAACCACGCAGTTGACCACCCTAACCACCATACCACTGGATCACCCTGTGGAAGGGTTTTTGTTTTGTTTGCCTTATTTTTGCTATAGGGTGTGTACACGCATCAGAGACACAGAGAGAGATGGAAAGGAAGTGAGAAATCACCCCCAGGGGAATGGCCATGCCACAATCCCTTCGCCCCTGTTCTCCTCACAGGATCTTGGGGTCACATACACACGTGACCGGAGTGAGTTTCAAGTCCCCGGGTCCAGGACTTGAACTCAGTCGGTCATGTGGGAGTCCAGTGCCTGGACCACTATGCCACCTTTTAGCCCCTGTAGAAAGATTTTAAACAAGGGGTGAAGTCTGTGTTTTGTAAAGGTGTGCGGGTATCTGGGCCAGTTTCCACTGTGGGGCGGGGGGTGTGGGGTGCCGAGAAGGTGGTTAGGAGGTTAGAGGTGACTTACAGTGGTAGACCCGCTCTGGTCGGATGCGCAGAGCTTGTGCGAGGGCGACAGTGGAGGGTGGTAAGAAATGGCTGACCTGAGAAATAACGAGGAGGCGAGTTCGGTTTCCTGAGGGATGAGGCAGAAGGTGCCGTCAGAGATAGTGCCTGGGTGTTCGATCGTGGACCCGGACAGATGATGAACGCTCTCGCTGTGGCGACAAACCAGTGGTCGTGAATTTGGATTTATACATGTTGAGTTTGTGGTGCATGGGACCAGCAGATGGCGTAATGGTTGCATTGCTGGACTCCCACGTAGCTGAATGCAGTTCGAGTCCTGGGCCCGGCAGCTTAAACCTCATGCCGAGCACATGTGCATGCATACCCAAAATCCCGAGAGGAGAATGGAGGAGAAGGGATTGCGGCATGGCCATCCGCCCTGGGGGGTGATTTCTTGCTTTCTGTCTCTCTGTCTTTCTGGTGAGCATGTGTGCCTTATAGTAAAAATCTCTCTCTCTCTCTCAAAAAAAAAAAAAGAAAAAAAGAAAAGAAAATTGTGGCATACAGAGGTTAACAGGTAGCAATGCCACATGTTCAAATTAAGATTTTCCACTTTGGGGACCAGCAGATGGTGTAATGGCTATGTCACTGGACTCCCATGTAGTCGACTACAATTTGAGTCCCGGACCCGATGGTTTAAAACTCACACCAGGCACATGTGCGTGTGTGCCCAAAATCCTAAGAAGAGAATGGAAGAGAAGGGATTGTGGTGTGGCCATCCCCCTTAGGGAGTGATTTCTCTCTTTCTGCCTCTCTCTCTGTGTGTCTCTCTGGCAAGTGCACATGCCTTATAGCAAAAATCTCTCTGTCAAAAAAAAAAAAAAGTGTTTTTTCAGTTTTGCAGCTCTGCTCTCTTCACGATAGTAAAATCAAGGAACAAGGTTCTACTTCTTTGAAAGTAAATATGGTTTCACTATGACTTGAGCATAAACATTTTTTTGGTCAAGCGTAAATGGATATTCAGATCTGTACTGAGAGCTGCATTGGAGACAAGCTCCAAAAAGCTCTCTTCCTTTAGGCTGATTTGAGTTGCATACCCATGGAAAATGACTTCTTGGGATTGTTGTAAATACATAAATGGCTAGAGTGGAATTTCTTGGATTGCCACTGCAGAATGCAGCTTCATAAACCTGAAAGAGTTCTGAAAGCAATTGTCAGCTGGCGCAGCTGTAAGAACGTGACACTCGGCAGAGCTAGCCCCCAGGGCAGGTTCTGGGTCCACATCTAGAGGCCTCCCTGAGTGTTGGTCACGTCGGTGCCCAGGATCCAGGATTGGCTGACGCCCGAGCTCTGCTGTGGTATCCAGACACTGTTACGGTTTTCGTCTTTCTTTGTCTTACTCTGTCTCTTGCTATTAGCAGAATAAAAATTGTTGGGAGAACCAGCAGATGGTATAATGGTTATGTCGCTGGACTCCGATGTGGTCGACCGTGGTTCAAGTCCTGGACCTGGCAGCCTAACCCTCATGCTGGGTGTGTGTGTGTATGCATACCCACAATCCCAAGGGGAGAATGGAGGAAAAGGGATTGCAGTGTGGCCACCTGCCCCCGGGGGTGATTTCTCACTTTCTGTCTCTCTGGCAAGCACATGCGCCCTATAACAAAAATCTCTCAAAAAGTTGTCGGGTACCTTTTTAAAAACTTCTTGCCAATGTAAGGGCTAGATATGCTTGTAGTAGTAGTTTCTGGAAGATTCTGCTTGGTCGATGTTTCTGAAGTGAGTTCCAAGAACTATAATTATCTCTGAGGTCTAAGTTGTCTGCACTGGAATAACTTTTTCTTTTTTTTTTTTTCGAGAGGTTTTTTACTATGGGGCACGTGTACTCGCCAGAAAGACAGAGAGGCAGAGAGCAAGAAATCACCCCCCTGAGGGGGTAGCCACGCCGCAATCTCTTCTCCCCCATTTTCCTCTCGGGACCTTGGGCACACATGCACACGCGCCCAGCATGAGTTTAAACCACCAGGTCCGGGACTCGAACTGCGTTTGAATACGTGGGAGTCCAGCTACATAGCCATTACGCTAACTGCTGGTCCCTGGAATAACTTTTTTAATTGCCAAAGGGCACATGCATTCAACAGAGAGAGAGATATACCACACACCCCCCCAGTGAAGCATGGCCACACCACAGTCCCTTCTGTGTGTCTTTGTGTTGTCAGGATTTGGGGCATATATACACGTGTCCAGTGTGTTTTTTAAGCCGCTTGGGCCAAGGTTTGAACCATGATCGACCACAGGGGACTAGGCTCCCTTACTCGCTAGTCTGTGGTGCTGGCCCTAAAGAAACTTTTGAAGCAGTGGATTTAAGGCATGCTGTTGATAAGACTCTTGTAAAACGAGGCGCAAATTATTCTGCTTAAACAAAAACCGCGAGTGAACAGTAATAAATTCCTTTCAGTAAATGGCATGTCACATGTTATTTCTAGCATGCGTGTGGAGGGGCTGCGACTGCCACGTGTTTGGCATTTGTTTCATGGTGAGACAGACCTGCTACCGTGAGCACGGTTGCCTTGGGCTTGTGTATGGTACAGACCAGGGAGCTGTGCCCGATAACATCGTATTTTTATCACGGAGAACTTCGTGCTATAGAGGCAGAGGTTTAATTTTAGCTAGGGTTATTGTGTGATCTCTGACAGACATGGGAAAGTGCGCTGAGGACAATTCTGACAGTGCCAATGACAGGGATGTGGGCGGGAGGGTGTTCCTGTGCAAATCAGCCCTGGCTCTGGTTCCCGGGGAGCATTTGGTGCATTCACAGAGAACAGGTGGTGGGGAGATCATGCGGCCTGATCAGGCTCCCTGCTGAAGGAGGTAGTAAAGAACTGTGGTGAAGATCCAGTCACAGGGACCAGCAGTTAGCGTAATGGCTATGTCGCTGGACTCCCACGTAGTCGACCGCGGTTCAACTCCTGGACCCAGCGACTTAAACTCACGCTGGGCGCAGGTGCGTGTGTGCCCAAGATCCCGAGAGAAGAACGGAGGAGAAGGGATTGTGGTGTGGCTATCCCCCTGGGGGGCGATTTCTCGCTTTCTGTCTCTCCATCTCTCTTTGTCTTTCTGGCGAGCACACGCACCCTATAGCAGAAAACCTCTCCAAAAAAAAAAAAAAAAAAGATCCAGTCACCGGCATCAAGCGGGTCTCTGAGGATGTCATGTGGAGAGACAGGCATTGCCTGCATGACTCTGCTTTTCCGTGTCAAGATCCCCTGGCTCTCAAGGGGAAAACACGTGCGCTTGGGCTCTTGACCGTATGCCATTTGAGAGAAGCTCCTACTCCGTCATGACAGGATGATAGCATGAGCCCCAGCTCTTGTGATGTCTGGCAGCCACACACGGTATAGCCCATCGGTGCTGTCACATGTTGGACAGACAGATGATCACGGGAAGGAGAGCAGTGCCTGCAGTGTGTGCAGTGCCAGCACAGTGAGTGCAGTGAGTGCAGTGGTGCAGGCATGCAGTGCCGGCACTGGGTCCAGTGAGTGCAGTGTATGCAGTGTGTGCAGTGCCAGCACAGTGAGTGCAGTGAGTGCAGTGGTGCAGGCATGCAGTGCCAGCACTGGGTCCAGTGAGTGCAGTGTATGCAGTGGTGCAGGGCATGCAGTGCCAGCACTGGGTCCAGTGAGTGCAGTGTGTGCAGTGGTGCAGGGCATACAGTGCCAGCACTGGGTCCAGTGAGTGCAGTGAGTGCAGTGGTGCAGCAAGTGAAGTGTGTACAGATCGAGTGAACGCAGTGATTGCAGTGTGTGCACTGTGGACCCAGTGAGCACAGTGTGTGCAGTGCCAGCACTGTACCCAGTGCGTGCAGTGATCGCACTGCATGCAGCGTGCATAGTGACCCCAGTAAGTGCAGTGAGTGCGTGCACTGGATCCAGCGAGTGTAGTGCGTGTGTGCACTATATCCAGTGAGTGCAGAGTGTGCCATGCCAGCACTATATCCAGTGCATTTCAGAGGTGCACTGGGTCCAGTGAGTGCAGTGCATGCAGTGCGCACAGTGATCCCAGTGATGCAGTGTGTGCGTGCACTGGATCCAGTGAGTGCAGTGCCTCCAGTGGGTGCAGTGGGACCAGTGAGGGCAGTGCTTTGCAGTTTGCGCCGTGTACGTATTTGGTGAGATAAAAGACAATAGACTAATTTTTTTAAAATGTGTTATACAGGATTATCTGAACCATCCTCCATTGCAAAGCATGAAGATAGCTTGTTTAAGGACTTATTTCGAGACTACGAAAGATGGGTTCGTCCTGTGGAACACCTGAATGACAAAATAAAAATAAAGTTCGGCCTTGCAATATCTCAATTAGTGGATGTGGTAGGTATGCATACCGTTATATACTCAACTTTACGCCGGGCCAGCGAGAGCCTGTCGTGTGCCCAGACACTGTCAGATGCCAAGCGTTTCAGAGGTGAATGAGACCTCATCCTTTCCGGAAAGGAACTCACGGGAGGAAAAGAGTTATTATGTCATAGATGTCACAATGTACAACCTTATTTATGTATTAATGTATGGCTTAGAAATTATTTGATCTCATTTGCTAATTATCGTAAGTCTATTGTAGACAATTCAAAGACAGTGAGATATTCTGTACTGAAGTTTCTCCTTAAATGTGCTAGAAATGCAATTAAAGGGAGCCAGCAGATGTGATAGGTGTTAAGGCACTGCATCCCACTTGGCTGGCTCCATGGTTCGAGTCCCAGCTGTCGCGACCCGAAAAACACGTCAGGCCTGGGTGCATGCATGTGTGCATGCATGCTCCAAACCCTGAGACACGTATGGAGGAGAAGGGATTGCTTTGTCCTCGCGTGTGCTCTCTCACTTTCCCTCTCTGTCTCTGGCGAGCACACATGCCCTATAGCAAAAGATCATAAATAAATATGGAGAGCATATATACACTTTATATATATTATTTACAAACAAATTATGTATATATGGAATAGAGTGATAGTAAGCTATATCGCCTCAGCCATGTGCCATTTCATAGTATATTCATTCTACTCACAGAGTTTCATGCCTAAAGTCAACTTTTGTTCACAGATAAGTATGTATCAGCTGAACTTACTATTGAAAGTATTTAGATTAATTAGGATATTTTGTGAATCAATACCATGTGGGAAAGAATAGAGGATCTATACATATTTCAAATGAAAAGTTATTTGTTGATGATAACACTCATGCCTGGCATGAGTTTTAAGCCGCCAGGTCTGGAACTCGAATCATGTCAACTATATGGGGGTCCAGTGACATTACCATTTACACGGTCTGCTGATCCCCGTTTGTTTGTTTATTTATTTTGAATTTGCTAGCAGTCATGTACGTCTGCCCAGGGAGACGGTGGGTAGGGCGGGGTGAAGGAGGAGAGTGAGCAAGCACCGCCCATGGGGGGGATGGTCAGGTCCTCCCTTTCTCCTTTGGGATTTTGGGCATGGAACCAGGAAATTGTCCGTGTGGGATCCAGCCACCTTCCCACTGCGCCACCTGCTGGCCCTGGTGCAGGGTTTCAGTCCAGGAACATTGCTCCTTGGAACCGTGTGAAAGGGACAGCCCTGCTCTTTCCTGTACTGACCCTTCCCACAGAGGGGCGCCCTGGGCTCCTGCTTTCTCCTGGGCCTTTCACCGGGTGTTGGATGGGATGGGGAACAGCTAACTGGCTTGCTCGTTCCCTGGTTATCTCCCTGCCCTCTCTCCCCGGCGGCTCAGTTCCCGCGGGCCTCCGCGTAGCATGGTTGCCCACACCGGGTGCGCTCATGGCTCCCTGGCTGCTCAGCACCCGCGGGCCCCAGCGTAGCAAGGTTGCCCAAACCCGGTGTGTTCATGCAGACCGATCCTGATGATCTTGCAGTGGCTCCGTGTGCTCCGTGAACTTCAGTGAAACTCAGCGGGAGAAATATCTTTTTTTTTTTACTTTTAGTTTTTTAAAGAATTATTTCGTTTTACTTATTCATTTTATTTTAATTTGATCAGAGAGAGACATAGAGAGAGACAAAGAGGGAAAGTGAGAAAGCAAGCCACCAGGTCCAGGACTCGAACCACGGTTGGCCATGTGGGAGTATCCAGTGCCTTAACCACCATGCCACCTGCTGGTCCCCGAGAAATATCTTTAAATTAGGTCTCGAAAATTTGGTAATGAACTGACATAACAGGAACTTATGTGACAAATGCCAAGGACCCCTGGTTCCCTACTAACATGGGACCTGAAAGTCTGATGACATTGGCCCTCCAGGCTACGCCCGGAATGTTTTTCTACATAGCAGAGACCTGTGGGGAGTGCAAGGGTAGTCCCCCAGGAATGCACAGACGTGCCCGATGTCACCGACTCCAGGATGAACACTTCTCCACATTCCGTGTGGGAGCCCAGCGTGCACGCCACCTGCTGGGCCCAAGACATGTTTTTTAATTTAATGGTAGCTTTCAGCTCACTGGCAGCCCCTTTTCCTCTTACTACAAAGCACAAGAAACAGTTCTGTGCTGACGTCTTCGACTGCATCTCAGACGGAGGAAACAGGGTAGTTGAGACCATGAATGTTAAATCTGAACGTGGCAACGCTGCCCTACGGTGGCTTATCTGAAATCCAGAGTGTGTGGAACTTAGGCCAGAAAAAGGATCCTGCCTTGATAGAACCGGACTGATGAACAGATTGTTGGTGCTCTGTGGAAAGGAATGTTTGTACACAAATGTGAAAACTGTTATTTAAAGACTTACTGTGTCTGCAACGGAAACAATCCTATTTAACTGTTTATTTTGTAGGATGAGAAAAATCAGTTAATGACAACAAATGTCTGGTTGAAACAGGTATGTATAAAATTCAGACGGGCACCCGACTAGCGGCTGGCACCACGGTTCTAAATCAGGGCTCGTAGCACAAAGGGACCTGAGTTCATGGCCTTGGTGGGCTGGCGGGATACAGAAAGATGAGGGCAGAGGCAGTTCTTGTATTCTTTAATTTTTTTAAAAAAATAATTCTTTTATTAATTTTCTTTATTATTATTTTTCAATTTGACCAGAGAGAGAGAGAGAGAGAGAGGGAGGGAGGGAAAGTGAGAAAGCTTGATGCCAGGTCCAGGACTTGAACAGTGATGGACCATATGGGAGTCTAGCACCTTAACCATCATGCTACGTGCGGACCCCTCGGTAAATATATATCATTTAAAAATTATTTATCTAATTTTATTTATTTATTACTATTATTCAGTTTGGCCCTAGAGAGACACAGAGATAAAAAGAGGGAGAGTGAGAAGCTGCCAAGCCTGGGACTTGAACCATAGTCAGCCATATGCAAGTGCAATACCTTAACCACCATGCCACTTTCTGGCCCCTCAGTTGATATTTAAAAAAAAATTTTTTTTTGTTTAACTTTATTTATTCTTAATTTTTGATCAGAGAGGGACAGAGTGAGAGAGTGAGAGAGAGAAAGTGAAAGGCAAGTTACCAGGTCCAGGGCTTGAACCGGGGTTGGCCTTATGGGAGTTCAGAGCCTTTAACCACCAGGCCACCTGCCAGCCCCATCCCTCAGCTGATATTTCTAAGTGGCTGCGATGAGTCAGACACTGTTGTGAGCACTGGGGAAGCAGCACTGAATAAACAGATAAACATCCTGGCTTTCAAGGAACTTCGTTGCAGTGGGACAATTAAGTAAGTTCTGTGGGGCTTTCGAGACTTGGAGAAGAGCACACTGGAAAGAGGACAGGGGATTTGGGAAGTGTCTTAATTGGGTGGTCCGAGAAGGTGGTGCGTGAACAGGAGGGAAGTCAGCCAGGGGGATATCTGGGTAGGAGTGTCCCAGGCTGAGACCCACGAGTGCAGAGGCCCTGAGGCTAGCATGTACTAGCGTGTTGAAGGAGCAGTGAAGAGACCAGGGTGGCCAGAGGTCAGCGAGCCGTGGGGAGAGGCTTGGAGGATGGGGTCAGATAAGCAGCGAGTGGTTGGGAGTACTCTGAGCAGCCGATCATGGGCCACTGCAAGGAGACTGGTCTGTACTCTGAGTGAGGTGGAAAAGAGGCAAGAATGAATTTCACTTTGCGTGCATAGTCCCCTTTACATAAAGGACTGTTTATTTTTTTCCGAGCATGTATGTCTTCAATGGCTCCTGAGTGCTTCCCTTGGTTCATTCTGTGGCGGTCTTTAATTGCCAGAGGGTGCATGTGAGTGACAGGGCATCCCCTTCCCGCCATCTCTCCATCTTGCCAGGACTTTAGACATGTGTACGCACATGCCTGGCATTTCTCAGCTGCTGAGGTCAGGATTTGAACCATGGTCAGCTATGTAGGATCCAGTTTACCAGTGTGTTATGGGGCCAGACCCTTTCTTTCTTTCTCTTTTTCTTTTTTCACATTTTTGCCACAGGGTGCATGCACTCGCCAGCTAGAGACAGAGAAAGGCAGAGAGAGGGAAAGTGAGAAATCACCCCCCAGGGACAATGGCCACAATCCCTTCTCCTCCACTCTCCTCTCCAGATGTTAGGCATGCACGCACATGCACCTGCTGTGAATTTTCACACCAGGCCTGGGACTCGAACTGTAGCTGGCTACGTGGGAATCTATCGCCTTAACCTCCACTCCACCTGATGGGCCCCAACCCCATTCTTTATTTATCATCCCTCGTTGTATACTAACTATTGGTTCCCAGCCTAAAAGGCAGGTCCAGCTTTCTGGGGTCCAGCTCTTAACTCAGTGTGGTCACTGAACTCACACTGTGTGGAGGTCGGACAGGGGGTTAAATACGTGGAATGACTCCGACTGCCCACTGCGTGCACCGCACCAGCCACGGCCGGGAAAGGGAAGGTTTCCCTTGAACTTCAACCTCAGCTACCCACGGCTTCACGTCCTGGGTACGGCCCATCAGTGGGAGGAGAGGTGCAGAGCGGAGTGCCCGGGGCACGGCCAGCTCTGGTCCTCCCCACGTCTCCCGGGACCCGGGTAGGACCACCGCATGGCAGACAGGGTTGCGCTCTAGTGCCAGAAGACAGACGTGGAGGCGGCTTTTGTCTTTGAGGGTAGGGATGGTTTTGTGTCTAAAATTCCTCGATTTGACAAAAGGTATTGTTTTCACTATCTTGACTATCACCTTACTGAAATGGAGGCCGACTTTTTGGTTTGCTTTAAAGGAATGGATCGACGTAAAATTACGGTGGAACCCTGATGACTACGGTGGAATAAAGGTGATACGTGTCCCTTCCGAGTCCCTCTGGACCCCAGATATCGTTTTGTTTGATAAGTAAGTTTCTAAATATTATTTTATATCTTCTAAAGAAATCATTTGTATTCATATTAGCCGCTAGGCAGTTTGGCTTCCTCTTGAAAATCATTTTGCTGTAACATCAAATGACTTGATCTTATGTTCTTTAGTTTCATGAATCTACAAATAGATTCTGTGACCCTTCCCCCTGGTTTGGTGTATTGTTTTCTGATCAGAAAAGCATTCTCTGATGGGGCAGTACAGGAAGGTGTAGGGACAGTCCCTATAATGAGTCCCCTCCCAGTATCGCATGGCAGCAAACACTGTTACTGGCTTAAACACACAATCACACCCCCCCATTTGCAGTTTTGCTCTCTCTCATTGGTTATCCGTAGTACAGTACAATAAAAAAATTTTTTAAAGAACTATTTATTTGGGGCATAGTAGGTGGCATGATGGTTAAGGCACTGGACTCCCACATAGCTGACTGCGGTTCAAGTCCTGGATCTGGCAGCTTGCTTTCTCACTTTCCCTCTCTCTCCATCTCTCTCTGGCTCAACTTGAAAAGCTAAAATAATGATCATGAATAAATAAAATGAAATAAAACTAAGTCTTTAAAAATCAAATTAATAAAGAACTATTTAATTTAATTTTATTTATTATTTTAAATCTTATTTTTGCAGGGCACATATTTCATGAGAGAGAGAGAGAGAGAAAGCAAGCCACCAGGTCCAGGACTCGAATCGCAGTCGGCCATATGGGAGTCCAGTACCTTAACTACCATGCCTCCTGCCAGTACCTACAATCAAATAATGAGAGAGAAGGAGCGAGAGTACATCCACATCAATTTTACTGTAGTATATTCCTATAACTGTCTCATTATGTATTATTGTCAGTCTCTTACTGTGCCTAATTTATAAATTACACTTTATCGGGGCCAGCAGGTGGTGTGGTGATTGAGGTGCTAGACTCCCACATGACCGAATGTGGTTTGAGTCCTGGACCCGGCAGTTTGAAACTCATGCTGGGCACATGTGCATAGGTGCCCAAAACATCCCGAGAGGAGAAAGGAGAAGGGATTGTGGTGTGGCCATCCTCCTGAGGACGATTCTGTCTGTTCCTGTCTCTGTGTCTCCTGCGAGTGTACTTACCTATGACAAAAATCTCCCTCTCAAAAAACAAGAAGAAAAACAACTGTCACAGGTGGGCATGTGTAGGGCA